CAATAACCGATTTTTTTGAGAACCCTTTATCTGAATTGTACACTCTTTTTGTGCACAGTCAATCAGCTTTAATTGAGAAGCAAATTAAAAGGATAGAAAAATCAATGATTACTGTTATTGAAGTGAAAAATGTTTTAAATGATACAACGAAACAACTGAACGACCGGTCAATAAATAGCTACTTAGGTAATCAAACAAAACAATTATATACAAAACTCAAGAATGAAGGTACTCTTGGTGCACAGCAAACAGAGACATTTGACAAAGACACAAGTGATTATTTCCACGCTGCTATTGAATATCTCGAACAGTGGTCTGAGCCTATGAAAAAATTCGAGATTTTTGATTGGATGATGTTGAACGAGATTCCACAGTGGCAACAAATTGAAGAAATGACAAGTTATTTAAACGAGAAATCTATACAAATTAGTGATTCTATGTATGAGGAATTTATGTACTTACAATCGTTCCTACAAACTGAAATGTCTGATGAATGGAAATGTGAAAACGTACAAGATAGATGGATATTTTTTTTTCAAATGACAGATGAAAGAGAAAGAAAAACTAATTTACTCAAAGTGTGCCAATATCTCTTTGCAATCCCTGGCCATAATGCACATGTGGAGCGGGTATTTTCATTGATAACCTCGCAGTGGACTAAAGAGAGGAACCAGCTCGCTGTGGGGACAGTTGAGAGTATAATTCAGTGCATATACAACTACAAGATGACATGCATTGAGTTTTACAAGTACGTGAAGTCCCAAAAAGAGTTGCTCCGTAAAGCGGGAACATCTGACAAGTATGAATGGGCCCACAAAAGTGGCAACAATAATTAGACTAAGAAGCTTCCTAACCGCTGGATTTTATATTTGTTGATTAATTTATTATATTTTGTACTAATAAAAAAAAATGCCATGCATAAACGAGGATATAATATTGGATGATTATATTTTGTGTTAATTTAAAAAATCCGGAGGGATGGTTTGTAGTATAGATTTTGTAGTAATTAAAAGCGATGTGAGACTTAGATGTGAGTCTAGTTTCAGAGACTAGTGCTATGTCAATCTTCTCCATTTCAAGGAAAGTTTCTAATTCTTGACGTCTGTCTGTCAAGCCGTTGGCGTTCCAAGTAACTACTCGGAGGTTCAGGATCATTTTTTAATAAGACTGCTGACTAACTGGACCATTCGGTCCATCATTTTGTCCATCATTTTTTCCACTATTGTAATCATTGTATGTTGTAGTTTTTCCAGCATAGTCTCCATAGTATTAGTGAAGTTATTGAAATCGTTGTTTGTCGTGTTATTTAAATCGTTATTCCTTTGTGCAGGTATAGTTTGTGGTCTTGTTTTAGCCATTTCAGCATAGGTCTTTTTTGGGTTTGTTTGTTGAAATAGATGTTGAGTTTTGGCATTATCAATTCTGTTACTGTCGAGGTTCATTATTNGGCAACTTAGAAAGATCTGGCAAAATACGGGATACCCAAAAGATAAAACTGCATTCAATAAGTTCTCTGACGAGCTTAAAAATCTCATCAACAAGGTAGAGAATGACAAAATCCAAAACATGCTCTCAAACCTCGATCCGACAGCTGATACAAACTACTCGCTATGGAAGGTCACCAAAAACATGAAGCGCCCAAAAACACACATACCTGTCATCAATAATAATAAAGGAGGATGGGCAAGGTCTGACCTAGAGAGNAAATAACTGGACTATTTACTTGTTATTGAGCACAAAGACACAAACTTGGTTATTTTTCCAGAAAATGTATATTTAAGTGCATAAATGTAAAAATGGCTTCATAGTGCACAAAATTGGCAATAGGTGGCATAATAATGGTTACTTTTTAGCGCCTAGTTTGAAATGTGATTGAATGATGACAACTACCAACAGTTGTCAGTTTGGTAAAATTTTATTTTAGTTGGAAAAAGACAAAAAGTGGTAAATGGGTTAACGTGCGGGGGCTGCAAAATCATGTTGTGACGTCACGCGCGAATATTGGAAATTTTTGAAAATTTTAAAAAGTCCGTAAACTTCTCGAGGCTCTATCTTTGGTAATACTGGATGGATTGAGGTGAAATAAAAACTAGTGTAATGTGTGTGATCTAAACTTTAAATTAAGTCATAATTTAACTTAATATTACAACTTATGCGTGTTGTCCATTATTCCTGGCGGACCAATTCTATAAACTTATTGATAGCAATATTGTTATCATAACCTCTTACTTACTAGTATTGTATTATATTATTTTATGCACATCGATTTGGGAGATGTTCTGTATTGTAGTTGTCGCAGCCAAATTGTATTATAATATTGGACGGGTTTTGGAAATAGCTCGGCGTTCCTATAACATGAATCCTATGTTTACTTTCCACTCTTGACATTTAACACGTGACTTACCAAACTAACTATCTCCATGGTTACCGTCTTAGTCTATGCATGACTAGGGATTGAACAACTTTTAATTGAATATTATTAACAATTCTCGATAATTATTATCGATTGAAAAATATTCGGTATTTGAATCGAAAGATATATTCAATTTTATCAATATCAAAATATTCAATTTTAATAATAAAATAAAGTTAGTTAACTATTTTTAAGATTTTTGTTTTTATAATGTATTTTTATTTTTTGATAATTACATTGTAAAAAGAAAAAATTAAAAATAAGAAAGAAAATTAATAAAGGAAATAAATATTATTTACTACCACCTNGCAACTTAGAAAGATCTGGCAAAATACGGGATACCCAAAAGATAAAACTGCATTCAATAAGTTCTCTGACGAGCTTAAAAATCTCATCAACAAGGTAGAGAATGACAAAATCCAAAACATGCTCTCAAACCTCGATCCGACAGCTGATACAAACTACTCGCTATGGAAGGTCACCAAAAACATGAAGCGCCCAAAAACACACATACCTGTCATCAATAATAATAAAGGAGGATGGGCAAGGTCTGACCTAGAGAGAGCGACAACATTCGCGGAACACTTGAGCAACGTATTTAATCCACACCCAGATAGCTGTCCTGAACATACAGAAGAAATAAAAATCTACTTAGAATCACCAAACCAAATGTGCTTACCATTGCGAAGTACTAGCCCTAAAGAAATTGTCCAAGAGATTAAGAATCTGAAGGAAGGAAAAGCGCCCGGGTATGATCATATAGATGCAACACTTATAAAGAAATTTCCGTTCAAGGCAGTAATGAAACTTGTCCACATATTTAATGCTTGCCTAAGATTGGAACACTTTCCCGGACAGTGGAAGATAGCACAGGTAATAATGATTCCCAAGCCTGGTAAACCTTTAGAACAAACAAACTCATACAGACCCATCAGCCTGCTGCCAGTAATTGGAAAAATGTTTGAACGGATACTCCTCAACAGAATAAAAGTACACTTAAATACCGTTCTACCACAGCACCAATTTGGATTCCGTGAAAGCCATGGGACTATTGAACAGGTTCACCGTATTGTTGACATTATCAGTAGATGCTTAGAGAACAAATTATACTGCTCTGCAGTATTTTTAGACGTCAGCCAGGCTTTCGACAAGGTATGGCATGAGGGCCTTATCTTCAAAATCAAAAACTCACTGCCGCACTGTTTTCTTCAGATACTAAAATCATACCTTGACAAGAGAAGCTTCCAAGTAAAATGCAACGATGACAGCTCTGAGCTCTACGAAATCAACTCGGGCGTCCCCCAAGGTAGCATATTATATGTATGTAATTAATAAATTAAATAATAACATACATAATGTATGTAACTTCCTACTTTTTTATTTTTAAACCGGCAGACAGTGGTGACTGAGTTTGTTGCGGCGCTTCTTCTCAGCACTTGCCAAATGTTTGTCTCGAAGCGCTGGTAGGGCAAAAAAAGAATGAGACATGTATAGGCTCCTTAAGAGCATTTGACGATTTGCAAGAACTAATTTAATTAGTCTAAACAAATAAAGATAATTTTGATTTTGATTTTATTAGGACCTGTCCTGTACCTCATCTTCACTGCAGATGTTCCAACAGATGACCAAACGATTACAGCGACATACGCTGATGACACCGCCTTGCTGTCCTCTCATAGTNAAAAAAAAAAAAAAAAAAAAACCTTAACCACTAAGAACAGATTTTTCGAAACTCCAGAGGGGATAAAACGCGGTCCACGCGTATGAAGTCGCGGGCGGCATCTAGTTGATTTTATAGTGGCTAACCTGATGCCAGCTAAATAAAAACGATAGGTAATAGCGCAAGTGTTACCTCACTAACTTCCGATGAATAAATTAAGTAAGAACTATAAAAATAAATATATTTTTTTACCTCATTCTTCAGCTATGTCTCTTAATGATAATAAAACTGTCGGTTCAAAGTTCAGTTGTAATGAGCAATACATTCAAGCCTGGGGTTGTAAGAGTTATGCTTGAATGAAGTCCCAAACTTCATCATAATATCACATAATACAAGATATAATAAAGAATATTGCTCCTATTTGTGTGACATGCAAAAAAATGGGGCCACATTTATAACCCAGCAGGAGAATTATTGTTGTATTGTTTTTACATGCAGATTTTTATTTTTTCAAAAAATTTCCGTTACAAATGTTTTATATTGTGTATTTTAATGTTTTATGCTAACATTTAAATTAGCTTGTGAGAGTATTATGCAGAGTTGTCATCATGGAATGTATCATTATAAGAAATTGACATTGTTACAAGATGACCTTATGCTAATTTGTCATTGTTAGAAGTTTAGAAGTCAAGTATAGAGTTATTACATGAATTTGTCATTAAAAAAGTTGTTATTGAAAGAAACATCTAGTAGGCATATTTATAGTTCCAAAATACTGAACTGTCCTATCGATGACATTGACAGCGGGGCGCCACCGTCAATATCGAATCGCTGGTTCCGATTTTTGCCATGTTGGAAACCATAAAGTTGAACGATGGTAGCGCCCCCCTGTCATTGAGTTTGGCGGGACAGTTCAGCGTGGGTCATCTATACCTACCAATAACAGTTTAAAAAAATTCTGACTGATTTATCAAAAAATTAACTTTCTTCTTAGTTGATTATTTACCTCTTAACATAAAATAATTATGTGTAGGTCTTGCTTTAAGAAGTGCAGTTGGTGGGGTTCCTCGGTCTTCTTCTTCTTCGTTTTGAGCATTATTCCGATCACCCCATGGCTCGTCATCGTCTGTCTCGCTGTCGTCAGTCTGGATGTGGACCATGTCATCAGTGCCGGATGTGTCATTACTGTCCGATGAACTTGATCTGTAGGTTTTATCATGGAAAATTATAAATTAAGTTATGGAGAAATTAGAGCCAACATAATATCTCAATTAATTTTATTTCCTGTCGGTCATTCAAATACATTGTACTAAATTAATTACTATTTATATATTTTTTGTCTCATATAACAATATTTAGAAAAGATATAATAAATAGGTATGAGTGATTTTATATCTGCATAGATATTCTCCCCATTTTTCATCCAACTACCTTCTTAAGATTGCCTGAGCAAGACAGTTATAACACAGTCTGTTACAGAGCATAATATGAAGTATTATAGCCAAATAGGATTTTTTTTTAAATTTGTAAATTTAATTTTTACATGATACTCACCCAGTGCCAGATGCCTCTGATAAAGAAGCCATGAACCTCTGCAAATCATCACTCTCAGGCTCAGAGTTGCTGTTATTGTCTTTACTGTTTCTCCTATTCATGCTCACTTCTACGGGGCTCTCTTCGGGGGACAGATCATCTGAATCCCTAGATGACTCATTACTATCGGAGTCTCTGTCAGGCGTTTTACGCTTTCTGTAGTTCCTAGCACGCTTTGGACGACGTATGTTCAGCAGAATCGCCCGCACGTTGCTGCTCGAAGGCGCAGCATTTATAACCTCATTTGATGGACCACCCGAGGTCCTAGCGGCCCGATCATCGCTACTGGTACTCTCAGATTTATCAGCTGACACTCCGCTGTCCACATTCTCATCTTTACTCGAAGATGCCACTATAAAAACAACCAAAACGTACCCGAAAATAATTTACGTCACATTTTTTTTCAGGGCCAGAAACTTGCTTTGAACACTTACCAGCCTCTTTAAAACTTTCTTGGGAGCTCCCATCGTTGAATTTAAACTTCTTTCCTCCCATTTTAGGGCTCACAGGAGAGTCTTTGATATCATCATCACTCGAACTATTATCTTCCATTGTAGTAAAAACCTACTCCGGGACGAAAAAGTAACGAGAGCAATGCAGCGTTATTTAACTAAAAAAATTGATTTACTTACGATAAGAATTTACGACTAACTAGGCAAAAATGAAGATTTGCTTTGCGAAGAAGAATTTTTATTTTTACAGATTTTTGTGATGAAATTTGGCAGGTTAAAAAATGTTGCCATATTTTTTATCAAACTGCCTGCCTAGTTTTTGGTCTTAGGCCCTAGGCCCTATGCTCTTAGGCCTGCCTAGCTAGCCTAGTGCCTAGTGCCTACGTTTAGCACGGTATATTTTTAAATTAAGTTTTAAATGCTCATTTTATTTCAAAAGTTTAATTATGTTTTTGATTTACTAAAATATAATTCCCAAAAGATTGGCTGTATTTCTTAAATGGCCAAATTAATATCATTTAATAACAAGAAATGCCACAGCCCGTTTTATAGTTCATGCAACGATGCAACAAGAGTTGAGGTTGAGGTGGGTTTTTTTTTTTTTTTTTTATGTGATAGGAGGCAAACGAGCAAACGGATCACCTGATGGTAAGTGACAGGGTACGGAAACTTCCATACTACGNCGATTCTTAAAATAACACCATTTTATAAAATAATTGGTCACATCATCATAACGTGATCAATTTTACGATTTGGCCACGATATAAATGCATATTAGTGTTAAATTTGATTTATTACTTATTAATCAATAAACTTAAATGAGAAAAATTCAATAAAAATAAAGAAAAGATATCAATTGAAATAATTATAAAATTATTTGTTTTCACCCGGTGTAAACACCCACGGGTGGAATGAAACAGGTTTTTATTGGGTTTTTACCCTCATGTGGGTTTTTACCCGGGTGGAAACCCATCTCTACACGTGACCAAGTCGCATTCTAGTTAAAATGGTAGTAACTGTTTTGGAAAGATTCATTTTAACAAACCATGGTTTACAAAGGATGGATGGTTGAATGAGCTTGTAATGTTTCCCCTTAGATTGGCTAGTGAACTCCCAATTCTCATCCCAGGCAGATTTGAGATAAGCTTTGGGAAGGGCTGCCGTTAAGTCATGGCAATAATTTGTGTACGGATGTATATCTCCACACTCAACCGCTTCATTGGCCAGCTTATCAGCTTTATTATTTCCTGGAATATTGGTATGACTAGGAATCCACGCAAAATTAATTAAATGACTGTTAAGACTACATTTGTGAAGTAATTTCCTGCATTCTGTAATAATAGGATAATTAGTATTGTTCTTAAATGGAAATTTATGTAATGCCTGCAAAGCACTTTTAGAGTCACAAAATTTACAGTTTTGTTTAATTTCATAAGGAGAGCATACTCTAAAGCCTTAAACAGTCCAAAACATTCTCCTGTAAAGACTGATGATTCTGGAGGGAGTTTTATTTTCTGGACAATATGATATTGTTTATGGTATGCGCCAACGCCAACATGACCCGTTGGAGAGTGCTTAGATGCATCGCAATAGATATGATGCCAATCGCCCCAGTGTTCGTCTACGATCTGATTGAACTTAATGTTAGCATTGTAGTCATCCTTATGTATGTCTAGGTTGAAATGAATTGTCGGAGTAAGAATAAGGGATTCAACAGAAAATATCGGAAGAATCGCCGTGTGGTGACGGCAGAGTAGAATACATTTGTCACCAACCCCTACTCTTCCCGCGGGTGTCGTAAGAGGCGACTTAGGGACTACACAACAAACAGAGAATGGGCAGCAGCGCTCTCTGAAAAACATCAATCTTTTAAACTGCGATCTCCAACCCGCCTGCCAAGCGTGGAGATTATGGCAAATCCCTCCACCATAGTGGAGGAGGCTCATAGTCCAGCAGTGGACTGTAAAGGGCTGTTGATGATGATCGGAAGAAAGGAGGTTCTGTAGACTGGGGCTTGGATTGATATAAATTTACGAAAACTAATAATCACACAAGGAGGAGATTTACGTGACCAATAAGAGGAAGTATCAATTAAATCATTAAGTCTGTTGAGTTTGCTATATTTATGATGGTCAGCAAATTGAAGTACACGGAAAAGATACTTGTCACATAAATATTGGCGGCGTAATTTCACTGGGGGCTCAACACATTCAGCTTGCAAGGCATTAATTGGACTCGATTTCATAGCACCAGCTATAATCCTTAGCGCTTTAGATTGAATCGCATCCAATTTACTTAAACCAACTAAATTACAAGGCTCTAGATAGAAACTGCCATAGTCAAGTACACTTCTTATAATAGCATTGTATAAAAGTCTTAATGACGCTGGGTGAGCACCCCACCAGACTCCAGAAACACATCTTAAAATATTTAAAAGCTTTTCAGATTTTGCAGCAATGCTATAACAAACAATGAGGAAGCAATACTTTTTAACTACCCTAAAACGCATGTCGCTGCTCCTGTTTCCTTCATATTTTCATTTTTTTCTTAATTAAAATATATTTCAGAATATTGTTAATTACAATGTGAAAACTTTTTTTAAAATGAAATTAATTTGTTTTAATTTAAAACTGAACGGTGACATTTTTTGTTATAATTTACTTAATAGAGTAGTAGAAATTACTATTTAACATATGGCAACTTTGTTTTTCCTCCAAAATGGCCGGTGTTGTTTTTGTTAGGTTGAATGCATTCTTGTTTTCTTAGCCATCGTTTATGAGTTCTGTGGCCCTATTAAAGTATTGAAGAGTCGAGTCAAATTCAAGTTCATTCCTTCGTACCTGCTGCTGTTCTGGTTCATCGGAGTTTTGTTCGTTCCTTCGTGAATCGCGAAGAAACTTTCTGTTATGTTAACAAGTGATCTGAGTTTTCTCAAAGTGCAAATGCTTTTTTAGTGTTGTTGAAAACTTTGCGAAAAGACGCTTTTGGTGTATAATATTATGTGTGTTCATAAATAAAGTAAAATTATTAAATTGAAAAGTTTTTGTTTATTTGCATTTCCATGTGCAATGTAGAATTTTTCCAAATCCATTGTTTTGAAAATAATACAATACGTACACCATAAAGATAAATACTTTCAAAATAATGGATTTGAAAAAATTCTACATTGTACATCAAAAAAACAATAATTCTTTGAAGGTTATGAGGGCCTATGTGTGCGTGAACTGTGTGTATGTGTGCGTGGACTTTATGTATGTATGTGTGCGTGTACTATGTGTGTATGTGAGCGTTACGTACGTAGGTTAAGTACAGCGAATTTAACACCAGGCTGTCAATTAGTAGGCTCAAAAATTTGACAGAGAGGGTTCTCTATTTCCTATGTATTACTTTTCTCTATGGTAAGTGATTACCGTGTTGAGTGCATGGTTGAGTGAGGACACAATTTTATTCTTGGTCTGAAGGACACAAGCAAAGATTTGTGTTTCTGACAGACACATGTGCGTTCTGTCTCGGAAAACAAAAGCACTTTGGATAGCACCAACAGCAGGAGAACTTAGGAAGACCGACCGAACGGCCAGGCCAAAGAATACTCATACTCCGGCCAGGCTGTATCGTAGTGTTGCCATATATATTTTTTAAAGAACAAAACGCATCAGCTGATAAATTGACACATGTCAATGAGTCGACCACGTCAATGTCAAATAATGGTCGCGTGTTCGCAGAAAGTAAATAATCTATAAATTCAAATAAAAATAAAAGAATTGTGTGTTTCTGCATAGTGTATCATGTAAATAACTCCGTATATTGTTTGTGAAGAATTGTAAACATTTAACAAAGTTGTCTAGTACACAGATTTGTGTTGACAACACATTTTATCTGCAAGAAAATGAATTCTCACGAAGATGTTCTGTCCTTCATGGATTTTCTAGATTTAGAAGAATCTGTTGTAGATGAACGATTAAGATCTTTAATGGCTAAGCATAAACTTACTAATAAGCACCTTTCAAATGTGATTCACCTTCTCAGATATAAACTTTTGATAAATACTCAAGACGATGATTGTTGCGACAATGAAGTGGAGTACGACTTTGCGGTGAAACTTATCAAAGAAGTAAGTAAAGAAAACGTAGACAATGTATGTAAAATAGTAGCTTGTGTCCTTTCATTGGATACTTCAAGCATTGTAATGAAATCTGAACACATACTTCAGCAGTTCCTATCCGCTACAGATTCGCCGACAGAAATCAGAGAAAATTCTGATTCGCCTGAACCCAACAAAGACTTACTAAACTTTAGAGTATCAGATAGCATACTTGAAGCTGTTATAGCAAGCAAAGATAGATGTATACTACCATTTTTAGAACTGCCATATGAGAGTTTGTTACTGGGCACAAATGAACAACTTAAAATTCACTTTTTGACCAGTACAGTTCCAAAGTTGTTTGAAGGGGTGTCAGGTTTCAGTGTGTTGGACCAAATTTGGGACTTTATAAAGCAACTTGAAAATGATAAAAGAGAAGTAACTCTCAAAGTTCTAAGTGTTCTATCTGGCTTTTATTTGCCTGTTAATGATGGTAAAAATGAGGTGTTATATCAGTCGGAAATTATATACAAATATGAGCTCTGGTACAATATACTGTATGGTTTATCATCAACTGATCCATCAATGAGAAGAATATCAATTTATCTAGCTAAAAGAGCATTAGACTGTGTTATGGCTTTGAAAAAAGATATTTGTGTCAAAAATGCAAATGATATTATATTTACATGGGATCACTCAAAAAGAAACAATGAAAGAACATTATGGGATAACTTCTTTATACTGATGGATAGTCTGGAAGAAAAACAGAGCAATATTGTTTTGCCATCATTAAAGTTATTTGAATCTCTGAAGTCCCTAAGGCATTGGTTAGACTGTGCTTTCAATATTGGTCTCAAACATGATAATACACAAGTCCGACTTAAATGCATACAGTACAGACTGGAAACTAAGATAAAGAGCCAAGCTGAAGCAGCAGTCCTGTTGGAGGCCTTAAATGATATCAACATTTATGACAATGTTTCTGAATGTGAAGATTTGAAGAAAAGACTTAGTGCATTTTTATCTGATAAACAAATATTTATCAATATGTTCACTGCAATACCTCTGGTAAAATGGTCTCCTGTACCATTGTACCACATTAGCAATGTAATATCAGGACACATTTTCAAAGATTTTATGTCTGAAATAAATGATATAGATATGACAAAACTGCTAATAGAAATTTTAAAATTGCCATGCAATATTGTTGCCATAAGAAAAGCAATTTTTATAAATGTTACCCACTTCATTAGCAACAATTGTTATGGCTTACACTGGAAAGATCATTTGAGCATATATTGC